ATAATTTATATTTTTAAGCACAACACGAAGGTAATCATTATTTCACACATTCCTCGCATGTTGTGGTGAAAATACAATGCTCGTCACAAATTGGAACCTCGCATATCGAACATGATTTTCGAGTTTTGCGACGATTTTTTAATTCGCAGGTGAGACAAACATGGCATACCCCAGTAATCTTTTTCCTTCCAGTTGAATCAAGTTGTGCTTTGGGTCTTTAAGATTTATTTGCTGTTGGCTGAATATTTAGATTTATAGCTCGACCAAAAAAACTTTCAATTGCGACTTTTGTTGTGAAATGCCTCATGATTTGTGGATTATGCGAACGGCTTTTGACGAATGGAGTACGCAGCTCTCTGCCCAATTGCCGATAAAATAATCGTCGTTCGTATGACTTTTTTTTAAGCATTTTATTATTCTCGTAATAAAGAATATATGCTGCAAGGCAGGTGACATCGAGAATATTGTAGAAAAATGCAAGAGGCCATCTTTGAGTTGATCTTTTAGTAGTATATCTACTAAGCTTTATACCCATTGTGTCAACACCAGCTTTTGACCAGTTATAAAACTCAATAATTTCTGGTTTTTTCTTTGCACCAACTGCAATTTTTGCTTCTTTGTGCATTGATAATAGCATAATAACTGCTCTTTTTTTTTTGGCACATAGCTGCACATGGTTACTTTTTCATGAAAACCAAACACAGTGGATAGTTTTTCTCGTGTTTTCAATGCAGTCATTGCAGGTGGAATGCACGTCTTATTTTTTTTCAAAAAGTTAACGATTGTTAAGTCCCAGGATAATAAAGTTTTTGCCAATGTCAGAGTAGTAAAGTAATTACCCATTGTAATATTTCTACCAGATCCTTTATATGGTGCTACCAGGTCTTTAACAACTCTCTCACCATTATCTTTTTCACGGCCGGCACTCAATTTTCTAGTGTAGATCTGTCCAGTCAGAGGATACGAGTTTTCTGCATCACATATCCACCATACTTTGATTCCATGCTTGGCTGGTTTTAATGGAATATACTGAGTGAACTTAATTCGACCTCGGTAGGGATAAAGTTGTTCGTCGATGGTCAGGTGCTCTGTTGGCTTATAATGTTTTGCTAAATTATTGTTAAGCATTCTCCAAATGTCTCTTATTGGAGCAGCTTTATCCATTTCCATGCGTTTAGCACGAGTATTGGCATCATCAAATCGAATAAAGCGAATGATATTCCAGAAGCGACTGATGCCCATTATTGCACGATACAATGGATAAGAGTACGACTGCCACATATCCTTTGTATTGTCCGTATTTGAATTATTGGCACCAGACGTTATCAAAATAGCCAAAAATGCATACAATTCCTGAAGTTCTAGATTTTTCCACACTAGTTGTTTTTTCCCTGGATTTTTTTCATTATATGTAGCATATGTTAAGTTTGCTTTTTTATTTGTATGGCGTATAATGATATCAGCCATTTCAGGAGTGAAAAATAATTTGAAAGTGTCAAGAATTGTCAGCATGTCAGTATTCCTACTAGGTCCACATCTCTCCTGCATAATATTACGCCTTGCAACTTGATGTTCAATTGTTGGTGTATTAGCCCACTTAGTACCATCTTTTGCTGTCATGACTGGTCCACTAACTGGCGTTTCAATTTCACTTTCTTCGTCATCGTCATCATCATCTTCTTTTTTACTTTCTTCATCTTCGACAAGTTCATTCTCATCAACTTCTTCTAAATGTATAAAAAATATAAAACATTATATTTATAATTATTATTGCATAATAGAAAATAGAAATTACCAGTATCATCCAAATCCGAAGCTGCCACTTCATTTTCTGGAAAATACTCATCGTCGTCACTATCCAACACGAGGCCATTATCTGATTCTTCTTCTTCAAATAATTCAAATATATTCCTATTGGAAAATGTTTTCAGTTAATTATTTAATTTTTTAATTAAAAATATAAATAATTTACCCAAAAGTAAAACAAGGAAATTACGTTTTACCGTCGAAAACCTGATGGATGCATAGTATTTCCATGATCCAATTCACCTTCCATTGTAATATCCATCATTCAATACAATGTTTTATTTATAATATTATTAATTTCTAACAAAGAAAACAAAATTTCTCAATTTCACAATAAATTTTGTACATTATAGTTTTGTTCTTTTCACTTTACAGTAGGTGGGTACCCGGGTACGGTAAGGTCATTAAATATAATATAATTTGTAATATAATTTGTATATTAAATAAGTACCCGGGTAAGGTCATTAAATAAATTGTTTTTAACTTTTATTGCATTTGGTAATATTGTACTTTTTTATTTTTTCCCGTGATCTCTTTCATTAGTTGCCAAATACGCTATGAATTATGTTTATGCTTTGCAATAAGTCGGAGTAGAAATTTCTTTTTGCATTTTGGCGGAGTTTTTTGAAATAATTTTTATAAATTAAGTAGTTATTTTAATAATTGTTTTAAAAAAATGGATGTTTTAAAAAAAGAGTCGTAGATCAGGTTTATATCATCTTTGAAGGTAATATTGCTCCAGTTTTGATTCGAAATTTGTTCTTTAAAAGATTTTAAATTATTGTTACTGTATACACGCTTTTTTATAGTTGTTTTACTCAGCAGATTTAATTTATAGTTTATAGCATTTATAAAAAAAAAAAAAATAGGAAAGTGATCTGAGACATCAGTTTTAACAATACCTTTTTTAAGCAGCGTGTTAAAAAAATCATTATTTAATATGTTATCTCTTAAGGAAGATAAATGATTTGGTATTCTTGTAGGTTTATTTATTTTAGGTTACCGTTTCATATAAGTCGCTGTAAATTTTTTTTATGTTTTGGTTTTTATTATATTCAAACAGTCCAAATTTAAATCCCCTATTATGTAATATTTTTATCTCACTTGATTAATTTTTTCTATCGTGTTTTAAAAAAAGGCTTAAGAGTTCAGTTCTTCTAGTTGGAGCCGATAACAACAGCTTAGTAGAACGTTTTTAGATTTTTTGTTTATAATTTCAATTGTTAAAATCTCTTGATCTTCATCAGAAACACTCATATCACGTCTAACGTTATAAAGAAGATTTTCTTTTATGTAAAAAAGTACTCCTCCTCCTCGCTTATTAACTTTACGTTCTAAAAAAAAATATGTCTATATTATATATAAAAAAAAGTTAATATTGATTTTGAAAATAAAGACATAAATATATGAATTTACAAATATATATATATATATATATATATATATATATATATATATATATATATATATATATATATATATATATATACATATATACATATATATATATATATATATATATGTATACATATATATATATATATGTATACATATATATATATATATATATATATATATATATATATATATATATATATACATATATATGTGTATATATATATACATATATATATATATATATATATATATATATATATATATATATATATATATATATATATATATATATATATATATATATATATATGTTTATTTATAAATACCCAAAACACTATATGCTAACAACTTTACACAATATGCTAACAAAACACAATATGCTAACTAACCATAATACCCAAAACACAATATGCTAACAACTTTGTATTATTTTTCGCCAAAAAGATAGGCACCGTGATAAAGAAGAAGAGACTTTACATTAACTTCATCCACTATAAGTATACAATTTCTATGATTTTCCTCTAAATTTGAAAAAATGGTACTAATAAAATCAATTTCTAAAACTTTTTTTGTCATAGATGTAATTTTTGTTAATGTTTTTTTTCGTACCTGATTGTAGAAGCTTCGAAACGTTGAAAAATAACAATATGACCTGGTTATAGTTTCTACATTATAAATTTTTTTACCTACTTTTGATGCATTCATAGATGAATTAAGATCTTGTAATACTAACTTTTGATGATCAATTTCAATGTTGTTCAAAAGCGAGTTGAACAGCAAGCATAGGTATACAATTAACATAAAAAGAATTTGATTGGATGTGCAAAATATCATTTGTAACAAAAGTTGTTACAGGACAAATAAATTTACGATTTATAATAGTATTTCATAAAAAAATGAATGTAAACAAATCGTATTTTAAATATTGCGACAACTTATCACACGTATCATTTCTGAATGAAAACAACACTTTAGTAGTGGACCTTGGTTTTAAAGGTTGATTTGGTACCACACTAGCTGGAATGTTTGGAAAAATTGAAGGAGGTTCATTTGGTCTAACTTTCCCATTGACAATAGTTGTTAAAAAATTTTCTGGAAAAAGTCTTTTACAGACAACAGTATCTCGTTTATTTGGAAAATTACTTCTTGGAATTGAATTTATCCAACGATTTTTTTCTTCTTCATTGGAGGGAAGCCTCAAAACTCGTACTTTATTTTTAGCATCATAGTTTCCATTACATTCAGGAGCACAGCACTTTTTAACCATTTATTGTAACAATCACTCAGTTTAATACTCACAAATCGAACTTTTTAAAAACTAAAATATATCTTTTTGTAAGATTGTCCGCCCCTGTCGAAAAATATGAATTCACGACGGGATGGCTTGTAATAAGTATCACCATGGTATAATCTATATAGTTTTTAATATAAAACATGCATAAATATAGAGGGTTCGCAAGAGCTTTAGATCAAAAACAACTAATTTGTTGATTTGAAAAATATTTTTTGAGTTTCTATTAAAAGCGTTCAAAAAAGTTTTCAAATTTTAGAATATAGTTCTTATAGCTATTTCAACTTTGTTTTTAGTTACTATTCTTATATAATTAGAATTATTGAGTTTCTATTAAAAGCGTTCAAAAAAGTTTTCAAATTTTAGAATATAGTTCTTATAGCTATTTCAACTTTGTTTTTAGTTACTATTCTTATTTAATTAGAATTATAACTCTAAAAACTTTGTTTTTAGTTACTATTACTTATCTAATTAGAAATTTTTAGTAAGTATAAATATATATAGAAGTCACTTTTAGCATTTTTAAAATCTTAAATCATATTTGATTACAGTGCAAGGATCGAATATTCAAGTAGTTGATTTAGTCGGTGACAATAAATCCTGTTTTTCTTTTAAGGAGGTAATTTTTTCAAGTTTTTAGTTAAATTATTGTCTATAATCAGTTTAATAATTTAAAATTTTGTTAAATGCAGAGCACGAGCTAGGCTACCAATGGTAAGGGGGGTGCAATTTTAAAAAGCTCTTTTGTAAATTTTCGGATCTTAATCTTTAGTTTATCTAGTAGAAAATTTTTTGAAATTTTAGGACCTAAAGACAAGATTTTTATTGGGGGGAGAGAGGAAGGACGACTCACTAGTCACGGCAATGTTTAATTGAAATATTGCAAAAATCATCTTAAAAAAATTTGTTCAGTTAACTTTTTATTTTATTAAAAATATATTAAAGTAATGTTTTTAATGTACAAAAAATTCTGTTCGTATCTGAAATTATTATTATTACTTTTTTTGTTTATAAACATAAGAAAAATGGTTACCTTAACATCCAGCCTCTAACATTCCTTAATTAATATATATTTACATAAGTTATTTTTTTCTAGCTGCTATCTAAATCCACTTAAAAAATTATTTAAATGAAAAAAAAGTCTCATTTTTGTTTATTCATTTATTATTATTATAATTTTTTTTTTAGCACGACAGTAATGCAAATAATTCAAATTGGTTTTTAACGGAAATGAGTTCTGCGGTTGACTTTGTTGTCAGCATTTTTGTTTAGGTATTTTTTGTTTAATTGTTTTTTATAAGTGCCATTTATTTCAAAATCTGATTTTAGTTTAATTGTTTCAATATTTAAATGAATGATCTATTTAAATTTTGTTTTTATTTAAGAATATTATTGATAGTTCAGCACATGTTATACTGACCACTGTTTGCAATACTGTTAATGACTTATCGGCTGAACCTCAGGTTAAAAATTATAATAGCATTTTAGAGAACTAATGTTATTTCGAGGTCACTATAAGTTTTTATATTTTCACAAGTTTCTAAAATTTAAAAAAAAATTGCTTTACTTTAGAATGTTATTATAAAGTCAAAGAGTCAAGTATTAATTGAAGTAATTAGTATCATAAATGGTGAATTAAAAGAGTCTCAGGTTCTAAAATAAATTGACTTTTTTTTCAAGTATTATTTAAAGAATTGGCTCAATTTACTGAAAAAATAGTTTTTTATTATTTTAGAATACGGTAAATTGTACTTCATGTCCTGAATTATGTGAAGTGATTAGTATCATTAATGGTGTTTCGGAAGAAGCTTAGGTAGAGAATGGAATTGATTGTTTGTTTAAAGCCAAACTTTTTCGTAAGTGTTCTCATTCTCTAACCATATCAATTTGAAAATTTTTTTTTTTAATATAGAACTTTATCAACATTTTAACATATTCCGGGTTGAGTTACATAAGCAGAACGGTTAATTGTATATCGGTAAAAAAATAAAAGAAATTTTTATTGTTAAAAGATTTTAAAAAAATTTTTTTGATATATTAATTTGACTTTTAAGCATATTTGTAAACATGTTTTTCCTACTTGATAAAACTCTTTAACTAATTTTATTATAGAACTCAATATAAGATTCTAAAACCTCTTTGTCTTCAACGCTGAATGATCAAAATTTAGGTTTCACCAACTTAAATGAAAAAAACGAACTAATTAGCGAAGAAAAAGTAAATAAAAATATTCATAAAGCAAAAAAAAAGTAAGTTTAATAATGCTAGCGAACTGATTATGGTTTTACAAATGAAAACAATCCGATATCAAATTTTATGTATTTTTCTAGGGTCCAATTAAAATACTTAAAAGATTATGTTTTATATGTAGTAAGTCATTTCGAAGACCTTCAAGACATATTGCAAAAAAACACAAAACTAACGAAAAATTTAAAACTGCTTTGCAAAAACTCAAAATAGAGCGTAACAGGCTGTTTCAATCTTTTAAAAAAGATGGTATTCACAATTTTAATTTGAAACAAATTGATTTCAAAGTTCCTCACTTCGAAAAAGAGCGGAGTCAACGAAAGTATGAAAGTTTAGTTATGTGTTTGTTGTGTCATGGTTTTTATTCAAATTTTATTACTCTCGTTATATGAATGTATGTGGAAAAGATTCTTCTCATTTAAAATGTGCAGTTCCGGTTGAAATCCTTACTGATAAATTGCAAGATGGATTAAGTCAAAATTTCAAAACGGAATTTTTACAAGTGATTAGAGATGATCCTATTGGTATTACTGTGAAGAGTGACCAAACAATTTTGATGATTGAGTCACTGTTTTACGAGAAAGTGAGAAAACTTAGCAAAAAATTGAAGTTCAAAATTCTGTTTGAAATGACATGAGACGATTAGGCCATTTATACTCACATTTTAAAAACTATGGTGTAAAACTAATTTATTACAGTACAGCCGATATGTTTCTTCAACAAAATATTACTTCTTTGAAGCTTGCAATTGTATATACAGATACGTATTCTGAAAATCATAAATCAGGGTTAAAATCTGTCTTATTAATTTCTTTAATTTCTTATATATTATTTAATTTCTAACGGTGCTGAAAAATGTAGCGGAATCTTTTTTGTTCAAAATAATAATGATTCAGCTAAGTTATTCTTTGAGTTTTTAGTTCTTCTGCAACTTCATAAAGAAGAAATATTTGGGTATGCAACATATGATTTGAATGAATGCAAAAACATTAGTTTAAAGAAACCATCAAAGTTACCAATTAAATTAGATATTTAAATGAAACGTGATTATTCCATATCTGTTATGAAAAAGTACAAAGAGGATCTTCACTCCTTCGTTAAACTGCGTAATGCTGCATGTACGAGACTTGTTCTATTTAATGGTAGACGAGGCGGTGAGCCTGCCCGTCTTTTATTGCGCGAGTGGTTTGAAGCAGCAAAGGATGCATGTTTAGATGAACAACGTGCTGAAGATTTAACAGAGATAAATGAAACAAACATGAAAATAACTTACCAAAGTGGCAAATGTTCAAATCATCTGGTCCCTGTTTTAATTCTCAAAGATACTGTCCGTTCTATGGAAATTATATCCGATCCAGTTGTTAGAAGCAATGTTGGAGTTCTGGAATCAAATGTTTACGTATTTCCTAGTCGTCAAAGTTTAGGAAAGCATTGTTCAGGCTGGCATAGCTTAACTAATATTTGCGATAAATTGCCTGTTATAAACAAGTCTAGATTAACTGGTACAACAAATAGACATAGATTAGGCACGCTTATGGCTGCAATAAACTTAAGTAATTTAGAAAAAAGTTTAGTTGTTAGACATTTGGTCATACCAAAATAATAATTGAAAATATATATATTATTACATTTATATACATGGATTAAGCACCAGCCGCCCACCACCAAATTTTGTCTACAGGAAACCACTTATTGACTATCGATGCAATCGTTAGAGTACAACTAAACAAAAATAACATATAGTTCTTAAGATATTTATATACTTTATAACAGAATTTAATATATAATACTTTAAAAGTAAGTTTCAAAAATTATTTTTTTAAATTACTTTAAAAGTAAGTTTTAAAATAATTTCTTTTGCATCAAATAATATTTTCCTAATGATACTCTTAAATTTTTTCAAAAACTTATTTTTTATTGATGTAGGAAGCGGACCCAAGGATTGCAAACGTATAAAAACCAGTTCAAGTTTGATTCAAACAGATGAGAATTTATATTTACTTTAAAATCTTAAATTTCTATTACTTTAAATGAATAAACTGCATCGTAATTTTAAATAGTAGATCCCAAAAAGGAGGCAAACTTGAAGGTGAGACAACTGAAAAAGGAGGCAAACTTGAAGGTGAGACAACTGATCATTTACATGGTAATTTTTGATTTTGTTTTTATGAAATAGTGTTAATTTTATAGAAATATACTTTTTTTCGTAACGTTATTATATCTTATATTTGTTATTATTTAATTCTAAAACTTATAACGGTTATACCTTTTTTTTTTTTTTTAATTTTAAATTTTAAATTTTTTTTTAATTTAAAGATCTTTACTTCTAGAGAAACCTTTAAAAAGTCAGCAAACCCACTAACCTCTTCTTCTTTCCTAAAGCGTGGTGTAATTTATGGACGACCCCAAACCTGCTAAATGTCTTTATTTGCCTTAACACAGCTCTAAAAACTTGTTTTTGTTTCACTTAATAAAAGTCTTCAATAGTTTTACCGTCCCTTCTTCCTACTTTACTAACCCCTTATTCGACAGCCGTCTAAACTAACAAAAAGTACAAAAGAAATTCAAAATTCAAATGTAGAACTAAATAATTCTCCTACTCTAATTAGAAGGTAATTTTAGACTTTTTTGCAAAGAAGTTTTAAAAAAATTGCGTCGCGCAATTTCTGAAGGTTTTTTTACCCCTCCTCTTCCCCTCTTCACAAAATTGTAACTCTTTAGTAGCTAGTTCCGTATGAGCCGTCACAAACCCACTAACCTCTTCTTCTTTCCTAAAGCGTGGTGTAATTTATGGACGACCCCAAACCTGCTAAATGTCTTTATTTGCCTTAACACAGCTGTAAAAACTTGTTTTTGTTTCACTTAATAAAAGTCTTCAATAGTTTTACCGTCCCTTCTTCCTACTTTACTAACCCCTTATTCGACAGCCGTCTAAACTAACAAAAAGTACAATTATTTATTACTTAACACAGTTTGATCTATCATTGTACTGAGTTTTGAATAGAACAGGAATTCTTTTTTGCATTAGCCACTTTTGGTATACAAAGTTTTGTCAATAATAAAATAACATAGAATAATAAAAATTTAAGCTTTTTCAATATCTGAGAAGCTATACATTTTTAATTAGCTTTTCCATTTTTTTGTTTAGAAAGAATATATACTCAGTGGTCAACAGAACAAGAAAAACGATTGGAAGAAACGTTTGGAAAATTTACTAGAGATAAAAACCTTGGATGGCCCAGTAATTAAAATAGAATCATTGTCTTTTAAAAGTATATAAAATGTATATTAGTCGCACAGTGGGACAGGTTGCGGAAAAAAGTAAAAAAATTACATTCTCAAAAATTACATTATTATTAACCATTTTATTGCTTAAACATTTAGCTTTTATAAAATGTATATCTTTTTGTATAATTTTCATGTCATATGCTTTTACGCTGCAAAATGAAATAGTTTTTTTTTTTTTTAATTTGATAATATTTATTGTGTTACTAACTAGGGTAAAACATCTAGGGTTTGTAACTTTTTTGAACTTAGTCTCATATAAATATTCATTTCTCGTTCTTATTTTCATAAATTATAAATCTTTTAGTCTAAGCCTATAGCCTAGAGTTGGTCTTAACGATGCTCATTCAATAAATGACCTTCGATAATAAATACGGGATGCATATTTTGAAACCCTAAGACTAAAAATAGGCAGAAATATGAGCAATCTGGTTTGCTAATTTTGAAAGAGAGGCAAGTGCGCTTTCGTAATTAAAATCAAAACAAACAAAAATTTTTAAAGTAATCAAGTAAGTTTATCATTAAGGGTAAAATGCAAGTACCGAACTTGAGTCAAGCTCGACTTGAACTTTACATTGCAACCAATAGCGACAGAGTATGGGTTTTCCCCTCAAAAAATACTATGCCGCTATTGGTTACAAATAAAGTTCAAGTTGAACTTGAACTTTGACTCAAGTTTGCTTCTTGCATTCCTACAAGTCTTGCACCCTACAAGTCTTGTGTTATTAATTTTTTTTTTTAGTTCTCTTCAGAGCATTTAAAAAATACTTTTTACTTAAAATTTCAAAGTAAAAATTTCAAAGTTTCAATAAAGTTTGTGTTGGCGATGGGGATTTTATCTTTTGTTAATTCAAAAAAATTGAAAAACAATGTGTTAATGTAAATTCTAATATAAATAAAAATATAACTATTTTTTTATGTAATAAATAAAAAAAAAAAAGATTTAAAAAATCAATTACGTGGTAAAAGTTAAATTTTTTAATGGAAAAAAGAGTTATGAAAAAAAGACAAAAAAATTTTTAGAAAAAAAAGCAAAATCATTTATAATGCTTTATGTTTTTGTTATTGTAAAATGTGTTTTGTATGTATAAACTGTTAGTATTTAATGTAAATTTGCATGTATGCAATTTTTCGTTTTTCTTCCCTTGGTTCTCCATTAAGAAGTGGTACGTTAAGAGTTAGTTCATCAGGTAATAAATTTACTATATCAAAACAAATATGTATAAACTAAATTGTAAATGTGAAAAGTTTTCTAAATTTTTTTCTCGTCAAATGTAATGTCCCTGTTCTAAGAGACATAATCAATACGAAGTTTATATGCAGTTGTACCAGTGGCGGATTATACCGGGGCTACAGTCCTCTCTAGCCCCCTCCCCTTTGATCCGGCACTGAGTTGTACCAGACTACTAGTTAAGTACTTAAAGTATGCAAATGTAAATTTTAGGCTGTAGCAGAGGTTTTTCTAAGCTCATTACTGCATCTTTTTACCAACTTGTTAATTATAAAGAGTTGAACGTTTAAGTTTTTTGTAAAAAAAAAAATTTTTATAGCTGTTTTACAGAACTAACCTGCACTTTCCATGTAATTCAATGAACTCTGAAGATGTAACTTTTTAACCTAAATTTTAAGGCTAATTAAGAGTACATCAAAATTTTTCATTACTTAACTCTAGTAATACATCATCCTTTAAATAATTTGTGAAAATTTAAAAAAGTTTGGCAGGATATTTGAACTTTTTTATCTTTGAGGAGTATATAATGTAAAATAAATTAATAGCATATTAAACATAAAATTTATCAAAAGTTGTTGCTTTATTTAACATTATTTATCATCAGTTGCTATTAAACATTTTGGTACTAATTATAGAATACAATAACCAATTTTTGGTTTAGGTTAACAGCTATATATCAACAAACATGTGTTTTATATGTTTTGACTCTTGAAATTGAAATAAACTATAACATGAATTTGTATGTTTTCAATTTTTCTTCTTTCTACCTTTTTACAATTAGTTCTTCATAAAGGTGTGATAAGTTAAGAGATATTTTTTTTTGTCAAAATGTCAAAACACATTTGCGGACATCACAAGGTCATAGAATATATATATGCGTATGTGTGTGTATGTGTGTATATGTGTGTGTATGTGTGTATATATGTATATATATATATATATATATATATATATATATATATATATATATATATATATATATATATATATATATATATATATATATGTGTATATATATATATATATATATATATACATATATATATATATATGTATATATATGTATATATATATATGTGTGTGTGTGTGTGTGCCATACTCTTAAAATTCAAATTTTTCAGTAAGTTAGATAATTGTGATTATATAGAGGAGTAATTAGTGAAAAGTACCGAAAAAAAATTAAGGAATTTTTAATAATATTTTTCTCGCTAAATTATTGGATAAATGTGAAAAAAATCATACTAAATTATTAATATTCTTTTATAATAATTATATCATTATTCTATATAATATTGATATTTCCAGCTAAATTATGTAGCTGTTATGAAAAAACAGTTATAAAAATCTATCGTATAAGATTCACATCATAGTCAAGCTTCACTTTCTGGTTTATATTTTGTTACAAGTTGTCTTTTTTGTCTTAGTTATAAAAACCGTTAGTAAAACAAATTACTTTAAAAAAAAAAATTTATTAAAGAGATATAATAAAAAATCACGAATGTTTTGAGTTGCAAGGTTTTGTAATTAAAAAAGTTTAAGTACTATTTTGTACAAAATTTGATAGAAAAGTCATACTTTTTTTGTTATTATTATTTGATTTTTTGTGCGATTTTTCAATTTCATTTTAATTATCAGGAAACTTTTTTACCTTTGTTTTAATTTTCACACACGCGCTAAAGCCTCTCTTTCAAAATTAGCCAATCAGATTGCACATATCTCTGACTATTCTGAGCCTGTATAGGGTTTCAACATATCCATACGGAAGTAATAGCCTCTGAAAGAGCCCAATGGCGACCACTAGCAAGAAACATATGTTCGCCATCTGAGAATTTTGACTTTTGTTAGTGTTTGCTACAATTAATTTTTTTTTTTTTTTTTTAATGTCTTTTTCTTTTTGATAAAGATTTATTTTCAAGTCAAAATTATTGTTAAAGAATCAAAGTTTTATATGTTTTTTTTTTTTTCACTTTAATTGCAAATTAAACTAGAAATCTCCGGTCATATCATTGCGTGGAATTTAAAAAAAAAAGAGAGAAATTGACATTAATAAATAAAATGTGGAATCTATTTTTTATTAATTTAATAAAATAACAGCTCGACCATAGAGTAGTCACTTTAAAATTGTTTTTACCTGAATAAGATGATGTTTTAACTTTCTTCTTTTGTTTGCATTAGCTTAGTATACACAATCAGAAGAAAAATAATGGTATTTAATTCCACTAGTAGAGGATTGGCTTTAAAGAGAACATGGATTCATAGATGTGCTGGTTTATGTCTCCAATCGCCTGTTTCGTTCAAACACAAAATCAAACCAGTTTAATCGTTTGCTTGTTTTAAACATGTTAAATCTGGGACAAACCAACACAATGTAATCACAACTTTCTAAAATTCTGTATAAATATTTGAAATAATAGTTTTATCAGAGGCTTTAGATGTTATGAAATGTTGAACCAAATAACTAAAGAAAATATAACTGTAAGTTGTTTAAAATTTAAAACATAGAAGGGTGTTTAGGATAGGGATGTACCGAAGCTTCGGCTTCGGCTTCGGTTTGCCGAAGCTTCGGCAATTTTGCCGAAGCTTCGGTTCGGCCGAAGCCATGGGCGTTTTTTGCCGAATCATTGGCTTCGGCAAAAAAATGGACATTACTAAGCTGGTATTCGACTGAGGAAGACATTTTTTAAACGTTCACACGTTGTCTGTTTTCCGAATAAAACGTAGTTGAACGTTCAAAATTCTTCTTTTTCTTTTCTTCTTCTGAGAAATTTAAATAAGCCTCTGATTTATACAGTTGCGAAGATTAAATGAATCCAGCAACGGCTTTTGGAGGTGGCAAAGCCGCGTGTAGGGCGGCTAAAAACGGCACGATAGCGGATAGAAAGTAAAGTTACTTAATGAAACACATTGATTTTTTTATAATCACTCAATATAAGCTGATTTAAACTGTAACATTATAGTAAACTTTATATAATTAAATACCATAACCCTAATACTTAGTTATGATCACTCGAGCTTAGCAATAAAATTTATTTATGCATTAGTTGGTAGTAAAATAATGAAAAATTATTAAAATTTAATTTTTTTAGCATTTAGTTATTAGTTAGCATCAACTTCTAAAATCCGAGTTATGTTAAATTATATATTTTTTAATATTAAATTAAAATTAAAAATTAAACCTGGAAATAAATCTTCATTTAAAATTACTTAGATGTAACTAAAACATAGCGCACGAGAGTTAAGAGAGTTAACTATTCTCGAAATTTTTAAAAATCTATACAATAAGTTAATTTTAACGCACGAAACAATTTTTATTCAGAAAGTTTGTTTTATTAAGTCACAGACAGAACACAGAAAGACACTACACAGAAAGACACTACACAGAAAAGACACTACACAGAAAAGCACAATTGAAATGTAAGTCAATTGCGTTTGTTTTTGATTTTGTACGCTGGATCATTAGTAAAAGTAAATATACCTGCTCTACAAATATAGGTTAATTGGTTATTTACGGCTTCGTTTTTTTTTAATTCAAATAATATTTGAATCAAAAAATTGAACGAATATTGTTTATTTCAATAAATATTATTAAAGGTAAGAAAATAATTAAACTTTCTATTTCAATTTTCAGAATTGTTATTATAACTTTAAGTTATCCATTAGCGCATTATGGCTACCTCATCGCGAAGTAAAAATCCCTTATGGAATTATTTTAAAGTGAGTGATGAAGATGTTGGCAAAGCCATCTGCATACTTTGCAAGAAGATTTTGTCTAGAGGAAGTAAAGACGCACACAACATGTCAACAACAAATTTACAAAACCATCTGAAAAAAGTACATTATAATATACATAGCATGATTCTTTCTCAAAAGAAAATTATTAACCACGAATCTTTACCAAATCCAAATGAAAAGTCTATAAAACAATTTTGCACTACTCGAACAATATGCTCAGATAGAACAAGCTCTGCTGAATCAGTGCAAATCATTACCAGCACTGCCACAGATGAAACGCAGGGAAGCTCGCGTGTGTCTAATTACACAATTGCCTTTTTTCAAAAAGTATCGACACAGGTAACTCAGCTAACTGTAGTTGAATTCATTTACTATTTAGTATTCATGATTTTGTGACTGGATGGGGGCATGTCTTGTCGAAAAATTATCTTTTGTATAGAAAAATGTTAACTTAACTTATCTAAGCTTATAATATTATAATAAATGTACTGGTGAGGGGGGAAAGATACATACCTCTATCCGCCACTTAGATCCGTCGCTGGCCATTGTTAGTTACAAGTTGCTAAGTAATTTTTTTAATTCATTGAATTTGTTTCAGGTCTCACTGCGTGAGATTTTGCAAAGAAAAGAATTGTGGTGACTTGATAATCCTAAGTCTCAAGCTATTACCAAGCTTATTGGAGAAATGATATGTTTAGACTTGCAGCCATACTGTATTGTTGAAGATAAAGGTTTTACCCGACTTTTAAAGAATTTAGCTCCAAACTATACAATACCTAGTCGAAAGTATTTCTCCACAAAAGTCATTCCACTGATGTATGAAACCATAAAAGCCAAAGTAAAATATGAGCTTGATCAAGCAGATTTCTTAAGTTTAACTAGTGATGGTTGGACCTGTCAGCACACAATTCAATCGTATTACAGTTTAACAGCTAGATTTGTAACGCATGAGTTTACAGTTAAACATGTCATCTTACAAGTTACACACTTCCCTGAGTCGCACACAGGGCACAATATAAGTAAATTCATAAATGAAGCGCTACAATCATGGGAAATTCCCCATGAAAAAATTCATGCAGTTTTAAGTGATAATGCAGCCAATGTAATGGCTGTCATTAAAGAGTCAAATTTAGGCGATAAACATCTTCCATGTCTGATACATACTTTACAACTTTGTATTCAGAAAAAGATTTTTAGAGAACAAAGAACAGCAAGTGATACAATAGCTGTTTTTCGAGCATTAGCAGGACATTTCCACCACTCATCTAGTGCTGTGGCTAAACTAAAGGAAATTCAAAGTCAACTAAAATTGCCAGAGCATAACATAATTCAAGATGTTTCCACAAGATGGAATTCGACATACTATATGCTTGAAAGGTTCATTGAGCAGAAAAAAGCTATTACATTGTATTGCATTACCAGAAATCAAGCAAATGCAAAAAATCCTACGGAAAATCAATGGCAACTTGCTGAAATGCTTGTATGCATATTAAAACACTTCGAAAGTACTACAAAAGACATGAGTAAAGAAACGGTATGTATATCAGAGATTATACCGTTTATCTATGCAATGGAAAAGTTTCTAGACTACGCTTGTGACACGGCAACTGAAATAAAAACTGTTGTTGATGAACTTAAGAAAGATTTTAACTGTCGTTTTCAAAAATACAAGGATAATGTTGATTTAAAAATCGCGATGATGCTTGATCCTCGTTTCAAGTTAAAGTTTGTTGAAGACAAGAATCATAATATGTTTAAAGAAATACTCCATTTAGAGTTCTACCGTTTTTGTTCCAAATCTCATTTAGAACAAGTAAAAGAAATTGAATTTGGTGTAGCAAGAGGTAGTGGATCAGACTCAGAAGAATCATTAAGTTCATTTTCAGAATCTAAAATTCATGAGTCCGACTCAGATTTTGATGGCCATGGCTCTCCATTAAAAAAAAAAAACTAATGAGCATGGACATATATAGCTTGTTCCACCAAATCGGTGCAAATGAGTATGCTCTACAAAATTTAGAAAATTCTGACGGACGGAGAAAAAAGAAAAAAAACACTAGTTCAATGGGAAAAACTCTAACTGTCAAAGAAAAATGGTAAGAAAACAGAATCTATTTATGATTTTTATATTGTTTATACATTAAATATCAAATATTTTTTTTATCTCTATTCTCATTCTCCATTTTTTTTATTTCAAAAGACGGATAACAGCATTCTTTTATTTTGTTTAGTTGATTAAATTGTAATATTTTAAAAATTCAAACCTAAAATTATCACCTATATTTTATGTATCAGCACCGATGAAGTCAACTTCTACTTGAGCCTTCCAATACTGCCAAAGAATGAATGCCCTTATAAGTGGTGGAGTGCATACCGTTACACTTCCTCTGATAAAGATACTTACAAGTTGAATTTGTCAAAGTTTTCAAAGAAAGTTTTGTGCGCGCCTCCTTCATCTGTAAAAAGTAAACGTTTATTTAGCACATCTGGAAACATATTTGAAGCAAAAAGAAACAGACTATTACCCGAACATGGAGAACAGATTACATTTTTAAATTGTAATATGCCTGCTTTCATTGAATAAATTTTTATTAACTAAATAATAGACTGTAGCTTCTTAGTTCAACTGATTCAACTTTTTAACAAAATTTAAAACAAATACCAAATTTTGTGTTCAAATTAAAATAATGACTACTTTTATATTTTTACATTTTACGTGTTTACATTTTTATAAATTCTTTCAAAGAATAGACCATAATTTACCTTAAGTATCAGTAAATGTCTAAGATTTAGTGATGTAATCTTTCCTATACCTGCTAGATATATAGAGTTAAGACTCTAAATTTCACTCTCTAAATTTTTGTACAAAATTTGTTTAAATTTTTTATAATATTGATTTTGTTTTATAATTTTCCTAAAATGGGCATGTAGGCCAAAACATTGAAACCTAAAACATTGATATATAATTTTGAAAGCAACTTGATTATTCAAACCACCGTGGTGAAGTAAATTGAGCTTTAAATTACGTATAGCTTAAGCCGAAGCTTCGGCTTCGGCAAAGTGGCTTCGGCCGAAGCTTCGGCTTCGGCAAAATTGCAGCTTTGGTACATCCCTAGTTATTATAGCAAGTTATTGTTTTATTTATTTATTATACTAGTGTGCAAGTTATCATATTTTACAATAAAAAAAAAATTAATTAATATGGTTGTTTTTTTTGTGGCGATTATTAGCTAGGGATTTGTTTTACTTCCAGTTTTCCCCACCACCACCCCACGCCAACCCTTTCAAATTCATGCACAAATTATTTTTTTATAATATATTTATTCATCCTAATAAAAGTCTTAGAAAAAAAAAGGCAAAAAATTAAAAATAGTATGTTTTTTGAGTGATTGCACTAAAGCTTATCTAAAATTTGTCATAAAGCATTTAGGATTTTTGTCGCGCAAATTTTTTTTTTTTAATAGATCCTGTCCCTTTATTTTTAAAGCTACCATCGTCAAATTTTTGTCAGGTATTGTTATACCTGACGAAAACTTGATGATGGTAGACAACATGGTGCAACAGCAACAACAACAACAACAAAAGCAATATATTTACCAGAAATATAAATGTTTTACATAAGAATGTTTTAAGTTATAAAAAATATGTATATACAGTCTACATTCTGAATGGTTCACTCTCATATAGCTAGGCTAAATCGAGGAGAGCAACCATGATTAAATAAAAAAACTAAAAATGAAAATAAAATAAATAATACACTCACAAAAGGTTGAAATTAGTTAACATTTATATAAATAACTTATATATTTTTTACGGTTAAAAGCGAGTAACTTTAATTTATTTTAAATTTGATTCCAGTCCATTAATGCAGAGTATTTAAAGGAATGTTTACCATAGAATTTTGTATTATATGTTGGCACACTCAGTGCACCTCTACAAGAATTTCTTGTAAGTTGACAGCTGATTGAACTGCGTAGAGTAAACCATTTATTAAATATAGGAGGCAACTCTTTGTTTAGGCAGATGTGAATAAATAAACAATTTTCAGTTTTAATCAAATCATGTACTTTTAAAATTTGTATTGCGATAAAAGATGTGAATGTATGTGAATTTTTTGGTAGAAATTCAATAATCCTTATTGCTTTTTTTTGCATAATAAATAGGCCATTTACAATACTTAAGTTTTGACTCTTTGAAAGTAGGCAATATGTTAAGTGAGAGTGAAACAAAGCATAGTAAATAGATTTTAGGTTTTTTTGTTGTATAAAATGTCTAAGTTTTGACAAAATGGCAAGGGATCTATTCAACTTATTAGATAAATCATTATAATGTAAAGTCCAGGTTAAGTTTTTGTCTAGCCTTATACCCAAGTACTTTACAAACTTTTTGTACTAAAGTTTTTTCCCATTTAACTTAATTTTGAGCTGTTGATCTAATTTTTTGTGACGACTTTTAAATAATATTAGATCAGTTTTTTTAAAGTTAAGGGAAATTTTGTTGGCATTTTGTTGCATAGTTTTTTAAGATCATAGTTAACATATTTGTTGATTTTTTTTATAGACTTATTAATATGGAGAAGGTTTGTGTCATCCACAAAGTGTTGAATTCTACAAAATTTTAAAGTTTTAGACATGTTATTTATATAAATAAAAAATAGCTAAGGGCCAAGAACAGATCCCTGAGGATCACCTACTTTGATATCGTTCAAGCCTGAGCTCACTCCACTAATGGATAGTAATTAAGTTCTATTAGTTAGGAAAGATTTGAACTAAGATTTTGAAACTCCTTTTATACCATATTAGGATAGCTTATAAAGTAGAATGTCAACATCCACAGTGTCAAATGCCTTTTGAAGGTCGATAAAAATGCCACATTAAAACATTCCTTCATCCAGAGAATCTTTAATTTTTTCTGTTAGACTTAGTAAAGCAAGTGATGTAGAATAGTTTGTTCGAAAACTAAATTGTAATTCAAAAAACAGTTTATTTTTATTGAAGAATTTGTCGAAGCGGTTAAACATTAGTCTTTCAAGAATTTTATCAATGTTAGAGAGGAGGGAAATTGGCCTGTAGTTTGACATTAATAGTTTTGAATCAGTTTTAAAAAGAGGTATAACTTTGGCTGTTTTTAGGTTTTCTGGGAAAATACCTCTTGAGAACGAGATATTAAAAATATTAGAAAGAATTCTTGAGAGTTCTGTTTTTAATAGTTTTAAAATTTTATTTGGCATACCGTAAGTATTGATATTAATAATAATTATAAATAGTTAAATTTAAATCAAGGTAAATGAATAATTAGATAAATAATAACTTAATCAATCAAGAAATTTAATAATAAAATTACAAAAAACTAATACTAAATTAAATAAACTATCATTGAAAACAAAGAGCTAATACTAAATTAAATAAACCATCGTCGAATGCAAAAAGTCTTCTTTTTAAGTATTTTTAACCTCGTTTACCTGGAAATAAGAAAAATTTGTTTTGAAAAAATAAACTGTTTTTTCAAAACAAATTGCTTAAATAATTTTTTTTGTTCAAATTGCTTTTTTACAATTGCTTTTGTAAAACGCATATAAGAATGAATAAAGGCGCATATAAAAATGAATAAATGCAAATATAAAAATGAATAAATGCGCTTATAAGAATGAATAAACACGCATATAAAAATGAATAAATGCGCATATAAGATTGAATAAAGGCGCATATAAAAATGAATAGACGCGCATATAAGAATAAATAACCCTGTAATAATGTTTTTGATGCCTTTCCGAATTGCTTTATATTTTTTATGTTTTCAGTAAAATAATTATCATAGTATTTTTTTTTTTTTTGCTTACTTTGAGTTTAGATTGAAGGTTATTACGAAATATTTCATACTCATAATAAAATATGGTTTTATTTGTTTGATTGTTAGCTAATATATTTTTTTAAGATTATTTTTGTGCTGAATAGAGTGTTTGAGTTCTTCTGATATCCATGGTTTAGTCTTGAATTTTATGTTTTGTTTGTTAAGCCTTTTCAAAGGCCCATGAATATCAAGCAGTAGATTAATGTAGGAAATAGTATTTTCAAGAGATTGAGTACAATTATCAGGGTATATTTTTGGTTCTCGGACAAAAATAATTTTGTGAAAATCATTTCTAAATGCAACTTCGTTGTAACTTTTTCAGTTTCTTTCCGGAAATAAGAGCTTTTTGTTAGATGGTGGCTTGAAAATATTATAAACTATCAGAAATTGGAGAAGTTGATCTGAGATTATGGTGGTAAGATTTCCTGCATTGTATTTGTTTGATTTTATATTTAAAAAGATGTTATCAATTAATGTTTTTGATGTTTTACAAGTACGAGTAAGGTGGACAATGTGAGCTAGAAAGTATTTTGAGGTGAGTGAGTCTAAAAAGTCTCTAGCATATGAATCTGTGTCACACTTTAACAAATCAATGTTGAAATCCCCTAAAATAAATACAGTTTTGTTTTCTTTTGTTAGGTTTTTAAGTAACGGATTAAAATAGAAGGATATGAAGTTGTCTAAAGACATTTTTGGATGCCGGTAAACACAACCAACGATAATATTTAATTTTTTTGGATATATAATTCCAATGAAGATAGATTCTAATTAGGGGTGGTAGATTATTCGGTATTTTATGTTAATCGATTAACGATTAAATTTCGAAAAATTAATCGATTAAATTTCGATTAATTTTAGGAAAAATGTGTTTATAACTTAATAAAAAGTAATTTATATTTTTTATGATTTTTCGTCAGATATGATCATAAAAAATTTAAATTATAAAGAGTGTCATCATTTAAGCTAGTTCTTAAGTTAGTAACAAATAAACCAGCTGCACTAAAACTTCTTTCTGCGTCTATAGAAGACGGGGTAAGACTTAGCATGGTATTATAAATCTTTTCTAAAGAACTTGGCCTGTTTCTAGTGCTTTCGAGTACTGCAATTTCACGTTTAATGCAAGTCAAAACTTTTTGAGGGGAAAACTTAAAAGTTAGCCCTTTAGTTTTTCCTGCTGCTGAAGTTGTATTAGATATTATTTCTGCTAATTCTTCAGTTTTAGTTTTTTTTTTAATGGTTCTGTATTACAAGAAGACTCTAACTCAGACTCATATGCTGCTTCTACTTCCTCGTGTAGAAATAAACGTAAGTATATTTCTCTAGCAGTTTTAGAAATTTTATTTTTATTTGGGTATTTCAAAAGATTATCTGAATATTCTGAGTCTGATTTATAGTCAGTTTGGTTATTTAAAAAGCACAGTAAACCAGCAATATTAAAATTTCTTTCGATAATTCTCTCCGAGACAACAGTAAATATATTTTGACCAATGTTAGTATTTTGTTCTTTAAGGTTTTGTAATAAAAAGAAAATAATTTTATTAGATTTTATCAGATTACAGTTTCTTTTCCCTAGTTCCATAACACTTAACTCTAAAGTATGTAGAGCCTAAACAATATCAGAAATGTGTTTCATTTCTTCTTCTTTTAAAATTAAATCTGT